AAGTACTTTCTCTTTCTGAGCATCCCTTTTCTCACTGATAAGTAAATATATCAGATTAGTATGGGTTTAAATGAGATAGCAGGAATGTAAAGGTTTTAAGTATGATACCAGTGTGAAAATGCTTGGAGGAAGTAAGCAGTTGATGAATATAATGTTATTTAGCTGTAGTGGAGTTGGTGACGCTGGGTGTGGAGGTGGATGAAGGGAAAGGAACGAAGAGGGAGGGCAAGACAATTTTTCTTTGGTGGCTGGAGACAAGAAGCAGGGTTGTAGGCAGGGCTCGGCCCTACAATCCATTGCAGGAATGCCTTTAAATATGTGCATTAGATATCTGTTCTTTCTCCATGCCCAGACAACAACAACTCATTCATAGTCAGAAGCTGAGTTATCAACATTCAGACACATCAGTGATATCTTAGATCGTCAAAGATCAGAACACACACACCGAGACTAGAATCTGCGGCACGCGCGGTCTGTAAGGGCTCGGATGCTGCCATCTCAGCTGCTTCTACGTAGCCTGTACTCCGAGGTCTCCTGAGAGACTCGTGTTATTCCGGTGCCTTCGTGATACACAATGGCCTATGATTTGTCCTCTTAATGACACCTGAAGCCCTTCATTGCTGCTGTATAGAAACAGCCTGGGGACAGATTTAGTGCTGAGCTTAGAGAAGTGTCTTACGTGTATGTACTCCTCTGAGAACAGCTTCGCAGCTGTTGCTGTGACTGTAACTATGGGGTTGGGTGTGGATGTCACAATTCGAGTCCTTCCTGTCTCATTTTTGCGTGTAGTGATATTGAAATTCCTCTTCTGTACCTGAACTATTGTAGCAGCCTACAGTAAAGATCGGCACACTTAACAAGCATCCTGACTGGTTCTTTTCTACCCTCTTCTCTCATCCCCACCAGAGCCCTAAGCACACGGGGGTGTGTGCAGACCTCTTAACTGGTTGCAGATACGTGGCAGACACACTATCTGTGGCTATCTGGAAAAACTCCGTGGGCTTCTTTTGGTTTTAGTGGCCCCTCACCACAAACTGCCAAGCATACAGGTGAAAACATACCTGCCCGAGGTTCTGGAAGATATGAGAGCAAAGAAAATTAATGCAGCAAAGCTATGGAACATTTAATGCTTTCAGCCAGTTTGGGTCATGTTTTAAGGAACAATTCTTTAAGGCTGATAATGTCAGCAATTGCCATGATTTCTGAGTCCATTCACCCTTTGCTACCCAAAATCTCGTCTGTGGCCAGCAGCACTGACCTCGTCTGGATGCTTGTTGGGACAGCAGGATCTCAGGGCCACTGCAGAGCCTGTGAATCATGACGTGGGGCGCATTCGGGCCCTTGGGGGACTTGTGCACATTGAAGTTTGAGAAACGCTATGTTAAACACTTAGAATGTAACATTCTGTACATAATACAGGCATGGAATGTGCCTAGTAGTAGAGGAAATAGGCAATCACAGGTGAGCTGTAATTGCTGTAATAGGGAAAATAATAAACTATGGGAAAATGTAGATTAGCCCCTGAATTCAGACTTGATGCTAGGATGTCAGAGGTGGCCTGGGAATAATGTTTTTTGGTTTATGGGTTTTTTTTCCCAAAGGAAGTGAGGTAGAAGTTGAGGCCTGACCAATAAGTAGAAATTATTCTGAAGAAATATTTGGTTAGGCATTTCTACCTAGAGGTAGTCAATGTAAAATTATGATGAAATGTTATTAGTCTCTGACAGAGATCTTTAAGTGAAATACATATGGAATTACCTGAATTTTAAAACAGGTAGAAGTAAAAGTTTGAAATTAGTTGACAGTGGACGGATTTGAGACTGGATATTTTGAGACTTGTTGGATTTGTTTATCTTGAATTAGTTAATACCCCTACTATTCTTCAGAAAACCTTAATGTTTGTGTATGAACCTAATGGATTTCTACAAATATTCTAGAAATGGATGTTATTACAGACTTTCTAGGAATACTGAAAAAATTAATTAATCACCATATGCTTTAAAATTTAAATATACCATGTAAGCATTTTGACTTTTCAGTGAACTAGTGTATTTTAATCTGGAGTATATATGTACAATCTTACATTAATTTTTGCCAGTTGAAATGTGGAACTGTGGAAAGGTAGTGAGCATTAGAAGTCAGTGTTGGTATATCAATTTATTTAAGAAAATTTAAGATTAAAATTCATTTGTCTACACTTTTTATTGTTAACATAAATTTCACAAATATATTATGCTAATTTAGTCACACTTATTAAACTAACCCCACAAATATTCAACTAACAATTTAACCTTTTTTCCTATCTCTAACTTCTTTATTTCCTTTTTTGTGTATGTCAATTTCCTCTTCTGGAAAATGGGTAAGACTGGCGTTCTCTACTAATAGGCTTGATTACATATTGTTTATCATGCATTTTGACATCTTTGAAGAAAATACTTCAAAGTAAAAGCATTGTAGTTTTATATTTGTGATTATTTAATGAAGTTTAATAGGCTCCAATTCCTGAATATTACGAAAAGGATATTCTTTATAAAATAGAATATTCCATTGGGTATTTTATCAAAAAGAGCTTTGTATCTATTTATCACTATCTGATATGTTAATAGTATCAAATAATGCCTCTTTCACATAAATATATAATTTAATCATTTGTCATTCCATCTCTCTCAAAAAAAAAAAAGGAAGAAAGACAGGCATCTATGGGATGAAACTTAAGGTCAATGATTTCACTAGACTTATACAATTCCAAAATGTTAACATATACAGTGAGGTCTTTTAACTCCAGCCTTGGTTCTTTTTTATTCTATACCATCTTACAAAAATCTCTTTTTAATTTGGTTTTTCATGCTTAAAAATAAGACATAAGTAGGCACTAATCCATGCTAGAACAGTCTTATAAAAATTTGTATCACAATGGGATTTTTGAGTGGAAAGTAAGTAAACACCAATGCAATGTGCTTATACAACAAAGGCCTTACTTTCCTAGAGTCCCAAAAGTAACTTGATTTTGTGTTACAGTTTAAAGTTTGTTCGGATGACTACAGGAGGCTATAGATGTGCTAGTTTAAAGAACATAGGCTCTGAATTCAGTTCAGATTCAGGGTCGGTGACTCTAAACCCATTATGCCATTATTCTTTGCCTTAGTTTTTGGGTTTTTTTTGTAAAATGAGAATAATATTGATACATTCATTGTAGGGTTGTTATAAGGTAAATTTAAATATACCATGTAAGCATTTTGACTTTTCAGTGAACTAGTGTATTTTAATCTGGAGTATATATGTACAATCTTACATTAATTTTTGCCAGTTGAAATGTGGAACTGTGGAAAGGTAGTGAGCATTAGAAGTCAGTGTTGGTATATCAATTTGTTTAAGAAAATTTAAGATTAAAATTCATTTGTCTACACTTTTTATTGTTAACATAAATTTCACAAATATATTATGCTAATTTAGTCACACTTATTAAACTAACCCCACAAATATTCAACTAACAATTTAACCTTTTTTCCTATCTCTAACTTCTTTATTTCCTTTTTTGTGTATGTCAATTTCCTCTTCTGGAAAATGGGTAAGACTGGCGTTCTCTACTAATAGGCTTGATTACATATTGTTTATCATGCATTTTGACATCTTTGAAGAAAATACTTCAAAGTAAAAGCATTGTAGTTTTATATTTGTGATTATTTAATGAAGTTTAATAGGCTCCAATTCCTGAATATTACGAAAAGGATATTCTTTATAAAATAGAATATTCCATTGGGTATTTTATCAAAAAGAGCTTTGTATCTATTTATCACTATCTGATATGTTAATAGTATCAAATAATGCCTCTTTCACATAAATATATAATTTAATCATTTGTCATTCCATCTCTCTCAAAAAAAAAAAAGGAAGAAAGACAGGCATCTATGGGATGAAACTTAAGGTCAATGATTTCACTAGACTTATACAATTCCAAAATGTTAACATATACAGTGAGGTCTTTTAACTCCAGCCTTGGTTCTTTTTTATTCTATACCATCTTACAGAAATCTCTTTTTAATTTGGTTTTTCATGCTTAAAAATAAGACATAAGTAGGCACTAATCCATGCTAGAACAGTCTTATGAAAATTTGTATCACAATGGGATTTTTGAGTGGAAAGTAAGTAAACACCAATGCAATGTGCTTATACAACAAAGGCCTTACTTTCCTAGAGTCCCAAAAGTAACTTGATTTTGTGTTACAGTTTAAAGTTTGTTCGGATGACTACAGGAGGCTATAGATGTGCTAGTTTAAAGAACATAGGCTCTGAATTCAGTTCAGATTCAGGGTCGGTGACTCTAAACCCATTATGCCATTATTCTTTGCCTTAGTTTTTGGGTTTTTTTTGTAAAATGAGAATAATATTGATACATTCATTGTAGGGTTGTTATAAGTATTGTATAATACATATTTCATATATACATTCTTAGTAGATCTACAAACTAGGTAAGCATAAATTTCAATACTCTTCTTTCATACAGATGCAAATAAATATTAACAAAAACTTAAATTATGATACATAAGCATATTTAATCAGGTAACAGTAAGCTAGGCTCCCTGTAAGTTAAAGCAAATTTTCAATATTCCTTATACGATATATTTTTATAAAGCTACATGCAATACCAATTTACTGCTATGAGTTACAGCAGTAATTGGGGAAACAATACAAAGAATTATTTAGGGGAGAGAGAGTGTTTGATTCATCTTTAGATAACTGTGGCAAGCAAAATTCATTTGGGCAAGAGTAATTTTAGAAGGGGAAAAAAGAGGAAGCTTCTTTCCAAAAATTAATGCTCTCAGACCCTGAATTTTTTATATTTGGTACAAGACAAGCACATCACCGAAGGGACTGGTGCCACACAGCGTGTCATTTTCCAGCTCTTGGGAGAGCTTCCTCGACGGGTCTTCACTCAGGGAGGGGTATGGTGCAGATAAAAGCTAATTAGCCTTTTCTTTCTTTCTTTTCTTAACGTCCAGATTCCTCCAAAGGACCTCAGCCTTGTCCAGGTGTAAATGGTAACATGCAGCCCCCCGGCCCTACCGGGCCGCCCCCCGCCTCCGCCATCCCCGCTCCCAGCGCCAGCAAGCCCTGGCGCAGCAAGTCCATGAACGTCAAGCACAGCGCCACGTCCACCATGCTGGCCGTGAGGCCGTCGAGCCCGGCCACCTCGCCCACGCCGTCCGCAGACAGACCGAAGGCCCCGGTCTCCGAAGGCGTCAAGACCGCCACCTCGGGGCAGAAGTCCATGCTGGAGAAATTCAAGCTGGTCAATGCGCGGACTGTTCTCCGCGCCCCGCAGCCTCCCAGCGCGGGGCCCAGCGAGGCTGCCAAGGACGACGACGCCTTTTCTGAATCTGGTGAAGCGGAAGGTTTTATTATCAGCGGCCTGAACAGTGGTGGCTCAACAAGTAGCAGCCCCAAAGTGTCACCGAAATTAACGCCCCCGAAAGCTGGAAGCAAAAATCTCAGCAATAAAAAGTCTTTGCTACAGCCAAAGGAAAAAGAGGAGAAGAGCAGGGACAAAGGTAAAGTTTGCACTGAAAAGGCAGCCAAGGACGAGAAAGACCAGGCGCCGGAGCCGGCTCCGAAGAAGGCCTCCAAGATTGCGAGCCTGATCCCCAAGGGCAGCAAGGCGGCGGCGGCGGCGGCGGCCAAGAAGGAAAGCCTGCCCGCGCCCTGCAGCGGGATCCCCAAGCCCGGCGCCAAGGTGCCCGCGGCCAAGCCGCCCGCGGCGCCGGGCTGCAGGGAGCCGGAGAGGGCCCGGCCCGCGAAGGCGGGCGCGTCCCAGCCGGCGCCCCGGCCGCCCCCCGACAGAGGCCCGGCGGAGGGGCGCGCCGCCGGACAAGCGCCGGCGGGCGCGGCGTCGGGGGCCCCGGGCGGGCCGAGCGCGGGCGGCGGCGTCCAGCTCCCGGCGCAGCAGTCCAGCCGCCCCAACACGGCCACTGTGGCCCCGTTCATCTGCAGGTGAGGCGGCGCGGCGGGCCGGGGGTTCGCGGCCCCCTGGGAGTGCGTCGCGCCGAGGGGACGGGCCTGGGACGCAGCTTCCCCACGAAGACCCCGGGCGCTCAGCTCCTTTCCGTCCCTCTCCCCTCTTCTTCTCTCTCCCCAAGACCTGGGGGTGAAACAGGTGACCGGGTGGGTAAAGAGGCACGGAAACCCCAATTATAAAGTAGCGCAGGCCTGAAAGTATAGAGAATATAGTCAATAATATTGTAACATCTTTCTGTGTTGATGGACAGTAACCACACATAACGGGGTGAGCATTTAATACTGTAGGTAACTGTAGAATCACTGCACCAGAAACCAGTGTAATATTGTATAATAACTATACTTCAATAAAAACAAATAAATAAAAGAACCTGAGGCCTATAAAAGTGGACCTACTCATCAGTGGCAAAATAGAACCCCCACGCCATGACTTTCTCCTATGTCTGCTACTATTATTATTATCTTTCTTAGTAATCTTTTATAGGCAGTGTTATAGGGTTGACAGATATTTTAGTTTTCACCCTTGGGATCAAGTATGACATAATGCTTAAAGGGGCAGGCTCTGTGATCAGACAGGTAATAACGCCCAGCTCTGCCACTTACCTGCTCTGTGACTTGGGGACAAGTTACTTAATATCCCTTAGTCTCATTTTCTTAAGCCTTCAGATAGGAATGCTTGGTATCCATCTTGTAGAGCTGGGAAGAACAGCAAGGATAATGCATATATTTACTCTATATTCTGGAACATTGTAGAAGTTTCTTAAATGCTGTTTACAAGGCATTGCTTTCCCAGAATGTAATTTATATTAACTTCCCACAGCTAGGCATATGTTTCTAGGCAAAAATAATAACCTCTATAATAATAGTATTTTATTAATTTTTGTATTATATTTATTTATTTATTTATATTTTATTTTGTATGCATTAAAATATATACCCTATTATACAGTTATAAAAATAGCACATTTTGCCTATTGTTCTGTGGTCTGTTTTAGTCAATTAGCAATACATCAGTCATGGCTATGTCTCCATTTTTGGTCACTGTCTTTTCAGAGAGGAGAGGCCTGCAGTGGAGTAACGTCTGCCCTTTTGGCAGGTTGGCAGTTCAACAAC